AGGCACTAAACATGTGAGCAAGAGCTGCTGCGCGTCACAGTATACCCAACAGATAGAGGACTAATAAAAGGTTCTTTCCTCCAAGCCCTGAGGTAAAACCTGAGGCTGTTTACTATGGCTCCAAAGGTCAAAATTAATAGCATGAATTGAGTCTTCTTCTTGCTCTTTGAAACTCCTTGTCAAAGGGCACAGCCAGCTGGGCACACAACTCTGATATGCAGATCATAACGTTTGTGAACAGATAAAATGAATTACAATGAGCATGGCCTATCAATTTTCAAATTTCTAATGAGCAGGAAGGTATTTCTCTTTTTTACTCAAACACTGTTCAAATGCCTCCTCTTTCAGAGTCCATTCGAGGCCACTTAAGCACCTCAAGAATCTGTACTACATCTCATTAGGAAACAGCTCTGGAAGCCAACTTAAAGTTTATAAAACTACAGTTATCCTAAGGGCAGGGTAAGGTAGTAACTATAAAACAAAAATAATATTAGCTACACTATGTGAAATATTCAAATATTATTTCATCTTGATGTCTGCATTTTAAAGATGAGGAAATTGCGGTATGGAGAAGCTAAGTCATTAGCTCAGGTAAAACCGAGATTCTTGACTTCGATAAGAATTAGTCTGCCTCACACCAATATCCACTAATGAGATTAAGAACTTAAAGAAGGAATAAATGAAAATGGTGATACATTACCAAATCACCACCCAAAATAGAAGAAAGATCAGGAAAGTTGAGAAAACTCAAAACTGCCAAGAGACATTCAAAAACTATAACTGGTGGCCTGCGTATCACACAGAGATATAGCAATTGATAAGTTCAAGTTATGGTTTTCTAAGGCAATAATGGTAAGAAAAGCTATCCTGCACAATCAATAATCTTTCATTTTGGGAAAAGCCGCCTATAGCACTAGCTCCTTATTACCATTCTCTGACTCTGTCCTTGACAGCAATACCACTGCCTTTAACAGAACACCAATCACACCATCGGCTGTTTGAGCAGCAGCAACTCTTAACACTGATACTAAGTATTACTACTTTAATAACAACGTCCCAATACTAGCAACCAAATCAAAACAGCTGGTTTAAGAATTCCATCCGTGCACCCTGCCAACCATCCAACTATCCACAGACCCACCCAACAACTCCTCCCATTTGTTAAGCACCACGTGCCGGGCTCTGTGCTAAACCCTCACAGTCTTCTTCACCTGCAGCAGTTCTTCAAAGCTAAGGGGAGTTCAGTTCTACTTCCCACAAGGAATCGTGCCTACAATATCGAAACATAGAGCTTGTGCCAATTATGAAATGGGATTTCCTGTTAAGCAAATTACAAAGCACCCGTCATAAAACCATATGCATTTAGAGCAATAGTTCTTAACCCTAGCTGCATATTAGAGTCTCCCGGGAGCTTTAAAATAATGCCAATACCTGGGCCTCATCTCGAACCAATTAAATCATAATCTTTGGAGGTGGGGCCGAGCATAGATATATTTTTTAAAGCTTCTCAGGTGATTCCAACGTGAGGCCAGTTTTGAAAACCACCAAACTTAAGTATTTTGAGAGTGGCATTTCTGAAAACCTCTTAACCCATAAATCTAATAGGTGGCACAAACACCACAATGACTCCCTCTCCCATCCATTGCACCTGCCATCTGGGCTGCATTAAAAAGATACATGGATAAAATGATCTCTTAAAACCACGGTCCCCTCATTTCTTTGTTTACAGCAATGAAATACTAAACGAGGGGGTACCTTGAGGTCACTCATCTCCCTGCAGCGACCCCCAGGCCTCATGCTGAGAACTAGAGCTGTATAATGCTCTAGCAGTGAGGAGGTGGCTAAAGGGTCCTCACTCCCATGCGGCTGAGCGTGTGGTTCTGTGGAACTGGCCATGTCCAGGCAGGAAGCAGCCTCAGCTCAGTAACCTGACGGGAGGAAACCTTCTCAGTTCAGGCATGATTATCAAACTCTTTGTGCTCTTAAAGGAGAGTAATTATAGGCATGTGAAAAAAGGAAAGCACTCCCTGAGGAACTCTTCCTCACATGCTTCCCAAGAGGCACCAGGGCCATTAAAAATTCCATGATGAAGAAGAAAAACAGCCTGGGAACAGCCAGGAGGCAATACAGCAAATTAATACACCAGCTCTCCTCGGGGAAAGCTGTGATAAAACAGGAAACACTTCTCTCTTCGCAAAATAAAATTATACCACTAATGATAACATAGTCACCACACACACACAAATCGTTCTAATGATGGGTGTGAAATTCCCAATGCTGCCCAGATGCTTTGAAAGAAATCTTTTCCTACCACAGATAAAATGGAACAAGAAAAAGTAAAATTTCCATTCAAAACAGTTTTTTTTTTTTTTAATGGTGACATTGGTTAACAAAATCCAGTAAGTTTCAGGTGTACAATTTATCGGTAAGGCGCGCGCGCGCGCGCACACACACACACACTGCATTGTGTGTGTTCACCTCCTATAGTTCGAACCAGATTTTAATACAGTCATTCACCTGTCCCTTCCCTGACACCACCGCTCTTACGTTCCCCTTCCCAGGAGTCAGGCTTTGTTAAATGGTCCACTCTTCACAAAGCCCACTACCCAGTTCGGATCAAATCTCATCTCTCAGCCACACCGAAGCTAAACTGCTCCTTCTCTACTGATCCCTTGCTGGGCAGGGACTCCACTATCTCAAAGGAATGAGAGGGTGCCCCAGGAACTGAGTTTCATCATCCGCATTTTCTAAAAATTGCCCAGAGGTCACTTGTGCCGACCATTTCTGATAGATTAGTGGTTGCCAAACTTTATTGATTGTGCACCCTCATGAGTAAAATATTTGAGCAAATACTCCTTATACACGTAATACATACACATGAAACAAAACTGTGTCGCTAGACTAATATATGTATAATTTAAAACAAAAAAGAATCTTAAGGATAAGAAAATAAATAAATGTAAGCTTAAAAATCTTCTTCCCCGATGCCAAAGAACCTTTATGTGTGCAACCCGTTTTGTACCCACTACCCTGGGAATGATGTCTAGAAGGACAAGGATAAGTTATAATTGTCCATATCCTCTCGCCTTGTTCTAAGCAATGGTCTAAAGTAACAAACAATATTTTCCTAGAGCTGAGTGTACGAGAAGCAAAGCCTAGACTTCCTTATTTTTCCAAGTCTAGCCACAAGCAGTGCCAGCAAGAGGATGAAGATAATGATGTGGATAATGAGATATATAAAAAAACAAGAAGCTGACACCCACTCCAGCCAGGATGAGGCTGTAGAGGCAATGGGAAACCTGATGAAAGCATGGACACTGATCTCAGTACAGCACAGCACAGCTCTAGGTAGCAGAGGTAAAAGAAGGCAGGCAAATAATCCACTTTCAGCATCTGACATGATACGGTGATTCTTACAGTCTTCCCAAAGAGTATACATGGCCATTATTTTAAACGGTATTAAGACAAAGAGCTGGAGAACTGTTTTCCTATCAATTGAAATCTTGTGTCTTCCAAGAACACCCCCTCCTCTAAGAAAACCACCCTGAGCCTCTAAGTTAGGGCCCCCTCCTCTGTGTTCCATATCATTCTGGTAAACACCTTTATACACTTATCATTCCATATTATAAATGTCAATTTTCACACCTGACTTTCCCATGAGAATGCGAGCTCCTTAAGGGTAGGTAGTACCTAAACAAAGAGCCTGGCACATAGTAGGGAGTCAGCAAATGCTGAATTACTGAATGAATAAATCACACACTACTGAAGAAAAGGCCTTACAGCAGTTTATCATCATTCACAATTGTCCACTTTGCTAGTAACACCATTTGTGATAGTCTATTCAAATTTTTTTTTTGAAATACTCCTCCCAGTAGGTCTGACAGCAGGTTACGTTGCAATTTATTGTTACAGCCCAGAGTGGAAGTTCTAATTGTATCCATGAAAGAGTAACTTCTTTGTGTAGCCTGCACCCCAAATCCATGAACATATCCAATTAAGAACATATTAGGAAGAAAAAAAAAATCATCAGAACTTTGGAAATTCTCTGCACCACTAGAAAGCAGAAAAGTTCTATGGTTCAGCCTATCAGCTGCTCTTTTGTGTACAATAACCCTGCTAGAGAATGCTACACTTAAAACTGTATTTACAAAACAACTACAACAAGTATTTACATCCTATGTCACCTAACAAGAGTTTATATTGAGAGGTGCTAAATCGATTTTGCTACTTAGGCGCAAGATTCAGTCTGACAAATATATACGAAACACCGAGTAAGTGCCAGACACTGTGTTAGGTGCTGGGGATATATCAGACAACGAGAAAAGGTCCCCATATTTTGAAGTTTATATTCTAGTGAGAGAGACGGGGGAAAAGTAGGGGGAAAAAACAAAGTCATTATAGACTATGATAAATGCTCTAAAGAAAAGAAAGATGATGAGCAGAGATTGGTAGAAACGGTCCCTATAGATAGGATGGTCAGAGAGGTCCACCCTGAGGTGAGAAGGAGCCAGTCACGGGAACAGCTCTAAGACAGTAGTCCACGCAAAGGGAACACGTATGAAGGCTCAGAGGCAGGAAAGGGTGCTATTTTTGAAGAACAAAATAGAGTTCCCTAGTGCAGCTGGATCTCTCTCCCAATGAGGAAGAAGTTTATGAAAGGAGTTTGGACATGTAGGCAGAATATGCAGGGTTTTGCAGGCCAAGATGAGGGCCATCAATGATGTTCTTTGAAGATGGGGCTTGTAGCAGAAGAAATATGAAATAGGAGCCAGAAGACTTAGGTCAAAGTTGATACTTAAATCACATACTAGTCACATGACCACAGGAAAGATGCCTTGCCACTCTGCCTCAGTTTCTGCATCTGTACAACATCTACTGACCTCAAAAGGTTGTAAAGATCAAATTGGATACGATACACGAATATACTTTATAATTTAAAAAGTGTTATAAAAAAGAAACTGGTACTGTCTGGAAGGAAATAGCCACTAGGAGACAATCACCTGGCCGAGCAGTGTGCTGGTGAACATCTTCGGTGAGAAGCATCAGCAAGAACATCAAGGGAGTAAAGAGGAGAAAGGGGATTAAACTGCAAAAATAAACAAGATTATTTTAGTAAGGCTTATATGAAACAAACCTGATTGATCATAAAGGGTAACCTGCTTTTTGATTACTTTCCCCTTTGACTGTTCAACTCTTGCTATATCACAGACAACATTCAATAAAGTTGCGCATTTCCAATAGTGCACCCATGAATGCAGCATACCTCATCTACTACACCTCAAAAAAAGACTATTCTTTGGTAAACAACAACTGTCAAAAATTTATGATACACAATAATTACTTAAGTGGCAGAAGATAGTACAGTTGACCCTTGAACAACACAAGGGTTGGGGCACCAACCCCCAGTGCAGTCAAAAATCCCAGTATAACTTTGACTCACAAAAACTTAACTATTAATAGCCTACTGTTTACCCAAAGCCTCACTGATAACATAAACAGTTAACATATATTTTATATGTTATATACATTATGTATTATATTCCTATAGGAAAGTAAGCTAGAAAATAGAAAACATTAAGAAAATCATTAAAAAAGAGGAAATACATTTACAGTATTTATTAAAAAAAAATCGATGTATAAGTGGACCCACAAAGTTCAAACTTGTGTTGGTCAACGGTCAACTGTACCTTATAAATGACATAATGGGAACTTATGTCTATTCATTATAAGCCCTTGTTCCCAAGAAAACTATCATGAAATTACCTTTTCATTTCCTTATCCTGGCAAATGTTTCCAGTGAATAACTGGTTAGCACATACCAGCAGCATAGTGTAGCGGAAACAGAACTAGACAAAGAATTAGAACACCTAACATTTAGTTCCAGTCTGCCACTGAGTTGCCATGTATTAAAAATTATATAATCTCTTTAAACTTTATTATCCTCATCTGTGAAATGCATGTATTGCTCTCTGTAGTACCTATTTTACAGGATTATTGTGAGGGTTAAATGAAATACTGCTTTCAGTTTATAATTTCAGTTTCTCTTCTATAAAACATATATTGCCTCAAAAAAGTAGTTGTGAGAATCAAATGGGATACTACATATAAAAGAACCTCACTTTACGTTTCCTAGTTTTCTTTGGATTTTTTCCCACAATAAATAAACCTCCCTCAAAATTATTCTGAATGGTTATTTTCAAAAGAATTTTAAAGAATACAAATTACAGAACTGTTCTCTGTGTCAGAGGTTCCAGTCTCAGTTCTACTAGCTCCATGACTGTGGACAAATAGCTTAAATCTCATTCGTAAATAACAGATCTGGAGAAGATGATCCCCAAAGGTCCCCTTCTACTTTTAGATCCTCTGATGCAAACAGGATTAGCACTCTAGCTTAGAGTTCCCCAAACTGCAGTCTCTCACATCTCACCTCAATGGCTTTTTCCTTATTCGCCTACCACCTGCAGCACTATTTACTTCATATTTTTATGTAAATTATTATTACTCAGCCTTGTTTTTACTAATTTTTATGGAATAACAAGTTTGATATAATGATTACATCTATTTTATAACTAATCACCAAGATAAAGCAATCTCTCTCCCCGCCAAAATCAAAAGCTTCAAACATAAAGGAACACAGCTACTGTCAGTAATTTTAAAACACCCCAAAAGGACTAGATATGCCAAGGGCTCCCTCAGGGGGTAGTTAGGGACAAAATTAAGAGAGTAAGACTCTAAGGCCTTGACCCCACTTCACCCAATGCTGTTCTACCTTCTTCTGTTTCATATGTTTAGGCTTCAACATTGTACTTCTCAGCACAGGATTCTGATGTTGAACTAAACCATAAGCAAATGAGGTTGATTCTGATTTCTTACTGCAAAGTTCAAAACTAAAAAAAAATGAGATTCCTATGAAATGTATGTATTATAAGTAATAAATTAAAGATCACAGATGAACCTATCAAGGGGAATTAGCTACAGTTCTTATCAGTGAATATCAGATATTCTTGGAAAACAGTCCTCCAAGAAAATCATAACACAGGGAGTGGGAACCTTACCTCATGTGCACAAGCAGAAATGTGTGGAAAATCAGAAGCCAACGCTTTATTCTTTCTAAAGAAAAGGAAATCAAATGATAAAATAAAGATGACAAAGAAAAGATCTTACCTGATTTCGTTCTCTTTTCCCAGCTGATGGTAACCAGAAACTAAAGAAAGGGAGAGATAACAGGAAAGAAAACAATAAAAGAAGTGGTAGAAAAATTACAGAGAGGAGGAAAAGATAAAAAGATGTTGGGATAATGAAGTGGACAAACAGAAAAAAGATGGAATTGGAGGAGAAAAGGAGAGATATTAAATGCATAGGAACTTTTTTGCAGAAAATAGCTCGTCAAAGAAAAAAGCCTTGTAATGAATTGTAAAAGACTAGACACACTAAAAAGAACCCCCAGATTATAGTGTGACACCAATGCGCTCTCAGCTGTGCAGTGACAACAGAATTCCCAGTCCAACAAGGGCATAAACTACACGTACATTTTGCCTATTTTGTAAATTAAAAACTCGATCTGGATAGGTAAAAGATCATAGTTGAATACTGACCTTGTCATGTACAGGCAACAACACGAGCCAATCGTGTTAGGGGACGAGGCTGTCATAAGAAAGGCTGGAATGATTTTCCTACAACTACACACAGGATTTTTAGTTGTACTTAATCTCAGTAGTTAGAACAAAAAGATATTTCTCTATATAGAGGTCTAAAAATGGGAAGAGAATATAAGAGAATGTAGAGGCAATCACCCATTTTGAACAGAAAAATGAGTTTAAAATATAACATCCTTATTGGAGGCTACTTTTATAATGGAGCACCTATAGATATAAAAAGCAAAGAAATAAAAACTAGTCTAGGAAGGAAAAATATCACTTTTATAGGTTTAGGATATGGGCCATGTTAACTATTATAAAGTACAGATCTTTAAGATCTCCTCTTTCAGCTCTAAAGTCAGATTTCAAGGTTTTTTCATAAAACTTCCCTCTGCCTCCTTCTCCAAGAATCAGACTAGAAGAGCCAGTAAATACATAAGCACTTACTCTTTCTGCCGAGAGTCACTAATGATGTGGCCTATCCTCTCAGTACCCAAAGTACTTATGTTGGTCTCCTGAAAAGACAAGGAAGACAAAAGTGTCATCCAACCACAGAAACAAATATATAAAATACGATGTGTCATCAAGCTCACACTTTGCCATAACTGTGCCAGCAACGTCAAAGGTACATGTCAAAAGTCAATCTTAAAATCCAACAGTAACTATATTCCTTTTTATGGGAATCTATCTTAAAAGTATTTCTTGTTATCCTAATTTTTCTCTAGTGTTCCAAAAAAGTCATTATAAACATTGTTTACTATATATATAGTATTTTAATATAGTGAGTATTACCTCCTGGAGTTATTGAAGTATACAGAAATAAAAACACTTAAAAAAAAATCTAACGGCCAATTTTTAACAGGCCAAGACATCAAGCTCTTAGAGTCGTATGATTATAGTCCCAATGGCCTTCATAATGGGACATGTACAGAGTCCTCACTGGTAACACCTAACTACCCTCTGACTAAATGTGAAACATCAAAGAACTTTTGTAACTTACAAAAAATTGTCACTCTGTATTTTTGTCTGTTACAGGTCATCTCCTAAAGTAAAAACAGAAGTCTGTATAAATTGGTTCTTAAATTTGGGGTTCTCAAGATAATATGAATTCTTACCCATAACAACACAAGCAATCCAAAAGACTGGAAAATGGCAGAAGGCACTCTACCTTCCTTTAACTTAAGTACATTTACAATGAATATCTATCACAGTACCTGGGAAGCATACTAATGGCACATGGATAAGAGTTACATACATATGAGTACGTGTTAAAATGAGAGAGCATAAGTTATGGGCAGGAATGTTAAGAATGTCCAGCCTGTTGTTACTCAAACACATTTGTTTCTGGACAATATTATTATCTGTATTCATCTATGTGTGTGGTTAGCTTAAACATTAAGAAATACATTTTAGCAGAACTGGCTACAGAAAAATTAATTTGAGGTCAGATTCTAGGCAAGAGTGGAGCTAAATGAAAAGGTTTCACATACTGTATTCTTCATGTCTTCATCCCTTATGCCTATGCCTCCTGGTCACAGACACAGCCACGGTAGTGAGACCAAGGGAAAGATGAGTGAAAAATGAGCTATTTGTTACAGCAGAAAATTATTAACTTAAAGTGCCGTAATGTTTAAATTTACAGTTTATTACTGTGTAAATTACAAGCAGTACTTTGCGTAATTAGCAGCTCGCTGGCAGGGAGCTGTGAATGAAACTCATTATTTATGATTACAATTTAGAAAAAGAGAAGAGAGATGGGGGAAGGGGAAGAAGAGGTGCAGAACAGTGACCTCTGCTAGAAATGACAAATATCCCTTTAAGGTGATGAAGATGAATTAAACAAGTAAACATTATTCTATTCATTTGAAATCCTTAGAGATGTCCAATAGGCCCTAGTTTCCTTCCTTAAAGGGAGCTTTCAAGAGGAACGGACTTCCATGCAAGTGGACAGCTCTTATTTTAGAGGAGCTGAAACAATGGTAGGTGGTAGGGAGAACATTATCTGTTGAGCCTAACCAATTAAGAGAAAAAAATCAAACCATCTCTGTTTCCTGTTCCCAACCTCCTGCTTCCCTCCGCCCCACAGACTCATTCTTATCCTGCTAGCTGTCAAGAATAAGCACCCAGAATAGCAGAAGTAGCTTTTTATTGTAGGTAAAATGATTGATCCAAAAGAAAGTATCATCCTTCTAATAACCAAATGTCTTTCTAATTTGAAACTGAAATTGAATTTAAAGATAAAAAGAATCTGAGTCCATCTGGAACTAAACAGCCTTTCTTTTGCATGGCTAATACTTCAAAAAATAGTTGCTCTCAGAGGGCAGCCAAACTGGCTTGGCATAGAGCCTGCCATATAGTAGGCGCTCTAAATGCTTACTGAGTGAACAAATTAATGCTCTAAAATTCCTCTCCCTTCCTCTCTGCCAACCTCCATCTTCTCTGACTGGGTATGAGCCCCAGTCTTAATCTATTTTCAATCTCAAAGCTAAAGTAAACAATAAATAAAATAACTTTTAAAATTTAAAGAAAGAAAGATAAAAGAGAAGTCGACTCCGGTTCAATTTCTATACTCTGCCACTTCTCTCTAGATAACATCAGACATTATCAAACTTCTTTGAACCCAAGTTTTCCTCATCTGCTCAAAGGGAATATCACCTTTTTCACAAGGTTGTTGGGAGGGTTAAATGAACTGAATGACTAGCAGTTACCGGCAAAGGCAGAAATGAATAAGTAGTAAGTATTCCTCCCTAATAGCCAATGAGGGGTTTTGAAATTTGGTAACAGGGTTTTTTCCAGTTTTTTTTTTTTTAAGATAGAAGAAGCTTTCATGAATTCAGGAGGAGTCATAAAGAAGCGAAGTATTTAATGTACATAATATCATATTAATCAAAAGAGTAAAAGAGACAGAGGTCAGGCTTATAGATTTACAAACAATAGATATTGCCATCACAGGGTTTGCTTCGTCGGAACTTTCATATGAGTTAAACCATCTTTTATGTATAGAGCCATTCATATCCTACCTACATAATGTTCACTCTTGTGAACTCGCAAAATATTCTAGTTGTCTTAATTAACTCCAGGAAGTTCTGCAGCACCTTTGATTATCAAGTAAATACACAAATCTCATAGGAAATATTATCTTCCCACTTAGCACAGTAAACAGTGAGAGCTATCACCTTTCCAACAAGCCGCCTCCGCCCCTTTCTGAGGCATCGCGCTGCAGCTCCAGGCAGACGATTCAAGCGAGCATGGTAGCCTAAAAAAAATTTAAAAAAATAAAAAAATAAAAAGGAAGAAGTCCTCAGGAACTGAATGTGAAAGATTCATTAGCAATGATACGCCTTACCTCCCAGGATCTTACTAGACTGACCCTTAAACAAGTGTCACTAGGCTATTTGTCAAAGATTTACTATTCCCATCTTTGTCAGCAGTGGTGTGATCTTAGGCTATGTCATTTACCTTTGACCTAGGCATCTTTGTCTATAATAGAGGGATAACCACTTGCTCATTCCTATCTTACAGGGGTATTCTGAAATCCAATGAAATAGCACATGAAAGGTAATTTATAAACTGAAAAAACTACACAAATATAAGGTATTTCTAATTATAAGTTAAATGCTAGTTATTACTCAAAAACATTCTAATTCATGAAATAATGGTAAAAATAGCATGTATATTATAATCCCATTTTTTCTAACTGCTGTATGTTTTCTACACATAGAAAAACAACTGGAAGAAACACACCAAAATGTTATGGATGAGACTGTCTCTGACTGTGGGATTACAGGCCATTTTAAGTTTCTTCTTCCTATTCTTGCTTATTTGTGTATATTCTAAGTGGTCCATAAAGAACTTTTAGAAATGGTCATTGGAATGTTTGATGAACGTTAAGGCAGCAAACAACATGCCAAAGCCAGAGAGTAACCTTTACCAAGAACCAACTTCTCGGAGAAGGCCTTTCAATCACCCAAATTCAACGAAATGCTATAGAATAGTAGTTTACTGCTTTTAATGTAATTCTGATCACAACAGCTGCTCAACAGATACTTGACTAACTAGTTGATTTTGATTACTGAGAATCTTAGAATCATAAATTTGTGGGGCTAAAATAAACTTCTGAAACAGTTTTATTTAATGTCACAACATCTTAAATGACCCGAGTTCCAAGGACTGAAGGGACTATCACAGTCACAGAGGTAGGGAGACAGTCCCAGAGAGTATTACCACATTTCCTTCTCCCTGTCCTAGACTTTTCTACTCTACTTTGCTACATCGTAATTAAAGGCAAAGCAAAAGGAAGGGGTATATATTTGTGTTGAAGTCCACAATAGTAAAATTATTAAAATAAAATTTAAAAAATATTTTTATATCATCCATTTAAAAATGCCAGTATATCTTGTGTGTGAATGTTCTTACTAAAATCTGTTCTTTCCCAAGATCCAGTACTTCAGGCTTCCAGTAAGCACTCACTCAATAGCCCATCAGTTTCACAGTAGGATAAACAGCTGTGACATGCTGCTAGGCTTCCTAACTCTGGCACAAATGGCAAAGGCAAGCTGAAAGAACGCCATGTCAATATGTATCCCAAGAGTCTCCAAGGACTGATTTAAGTAAGAATGGAGAGAACCTCAAATTTTGAGATTCACCCTTGAATCCCCTAGACGAATCTCTAGACTAGCCCCAATATTCAGATAGTTAATGTGTGCTGAGCAGCAGGAGTATGTATGCCATGAGATGATTCTCCCCAAAGAGAACCACAAACGTGTGAAGTATATTTTGGTCTCCTTAGAACTCACCTCTTTGAGCTGGCCGAGAAGGTAAAAGGAATGTGGAATCTGAAAGTTTATCCAATCCAGAATCCATTCTTTCAACTTCAGAGCAATGATCAGGAGCCCACTTGGGCAAAAGATTAGGGACAGTGAATCCTGGAACACATTCTCCTTCATAGAACCAATCACTCTGCTCGTCATCCCCTAAAGTAAAGCGATCGTTTCATAAGCTGGAATTTTAACATGCTCTATCAAAAACTAAAAAAGAGGATAACATTTTGGTGCTATAGTTTAATTATGCTTTTTAAATAAAGTCAAAGTACAAAAAAATTGTTTTGATCCTTCTTCTTGACCCATATCATAATGAAAACTGAGACATCAAACTAGTTTCAAAATGTCATAATGTGTAATGCTGGACTGCATTACACATTAAAAACTAATAAAGCTACCATTTACCAAACTTTTACCACCTATCAGGATACTGTAATATGTTATCTCTTCCAAACCTTATACTAACTCTAACTTACAAATGAGGCAACTAAAACCCAAAGAAGTCAAGGTCAAGGCAGTAAATGATGAAGCCAGGACTTGAACTCAAAGCCCAACTCACTCCACAGCCTTACCACAAAAATAAACTGTCTCCCACGTACCATTTTCAGTGGTATCAACGAACTTGGGGATTCAAAGCCCACAAATGTTTCTCAATTCAAAATTAGCTTTTCCTGAGGGATTTCTTAATATATTTCATTTCTCATAATAAGTGAATGAAGAATGTATACCCGTACTTTGGTTTTTCCTTGGTACCTCATTAATAGGACATAAAATCACCTTGACACTAGCAATCCAAGCCAGCAGGAAAAAACTACCTCAGAAACAAATAATATAAACCCTTGAGGCCTGTCAAGAAGCTATACCATTTGCCCAAGGCCATACTCTTCATTAATGACAAAGTCAAGACCCATATATCCACACTCTTGGTTCAAACTTCTTTCTATTGGCTATAGTAATAACAACTCAGTTTCCAATAGAGTTTATTCCTGACAACAAAGAGTAAGATAGATAACTTTATGTTTGCCACCCCACCCTCCTTTCAAAAACAGCAAGGATGAAAAAAGTATTAGAAGAATATCTAAAGAGCTCATAATGCATTCATTCGCTAGTGTATACTAGATTCCAGGAAAGCTGCTCAGGACATGCCAATCACATGAAATATCAGATTCATGGGCCACTAACACCCAGGATAACAGTAACTCTTAAACCATTGTGGAGATCGCTAAAGGAGGAAAGGAAAGCTGCACACTGGTGAAAAGCAACAGATACTGCCTCTAAAGAAGTTATTCAAAGTGTTCTCTTATAAAAACACACCAACATGTTTCTCTAAAACAGTGGTTCTCAACCTTTAGTGTGCATTGGAAGGACAAGGAGAGGTTGTTAAAACAGACTGCTGGGTCTTACCCCCAAAGTTCTGATTCCGATCTGCGCACAACCAAAACTTTGCATTTCTAACAATTTCTCTAGAGATGTTAAGCTGGTCTGGGGACCACAATTTGAGAACCACTAAAAGCATCTCATTAAACCACATACACAGATGAATTGAAGGCATTGGAATTAACAATGATTAGTTCCTATGTTCTTCAATATGTTAATTCCTTTCATATTCATAAGCTTTCAGCCATTTATTAAAACAGCTTATTTAGCTAGATCATATTTTCTGGGGACAAAGGGTAAAATATAATGAGATTTTTTTGGTTCTCAAGCATTCACTAAAGATTTTTGATAATATAAAAAGGGACTCACTGAACTGGAAGAACCTTGTGAGATCATCTAGACCAGTAGTCTTCACCCTGGGTTCACTAGGATGCCTGATGCAGAAGCTCCTCAAAAGAGTGCTGCCAGAGAATAAGGAAGAGGCTGAGTGGATCAGGCTCCTGACGTCCTGTTCCCTTAGGATCGTGCTTTAACCAAAACAGGTTTAGCTGTTTTATGATTTGAGGTTCTGTGTACAATTCCATTCGAGGGGGAAAAAAAAGAAGTTTCCCCTTAACTGAGCTTCCCAATAATTATTTATTAATAGCTCACTACATGCCAGGCAATGTGTTAAACTTATCGTGGTTGCAAATAATAAAAAAAAATCCTTACTTTTGAAGTTTCAATGGAAAAGACACACATCTACAAACAATAATGTAATACGGTAATAATAATCACTTAATAAAGCAGTAAGTATAGGGAATGAAAAGAGTAAGGATTCTAGGAGATGGTGCCTATATTGAGAGTATCGGTCAGAATCCCTTTAGGAAATACATGCATATTTAAATAGAATAACAGACTTCAATGAAATGACTATTCACAAAGGGTAGACAGCATTAATAGAAACCAATAAGGGATGGTGAAGCACCCTGCGGCTAGCACAGTGGGGAGTCTTTACCATTAACCAGACCTGAAGTAGTGAGGAGAAAGCATGGTTATCAGACCACAGAGAGAACTACGGCTATAGAAGGCTGCCCAACAGAAGTGGTGGTCTTCAGCAAAGGAACGCTGGTTGGCTTGGGCTTTACTAATTTAAATGTTGGATGTGATATAAAGAAATACATATGGAGGGTTTGCTTCATCTTAGATCAAATTCATTCCTTAGAGGGCTAATAAAGGGTGTGTGTGATGCCTTAAAGAGTTTTGAAGGCAAAAGATCACTTGTAGTAAAACTGTTGAAGCTATTACTACGTGTCAGGATGTTCTGAAATTTTCGGACCTGGGGCAAACTGTTGTATGGTTTATGGACTCTTCTCCTACCCAAACTATAAAAATAAACTATGTAATGAAAGAAAAAAAAACAAAACAAAACCAGTAGTCCCACAAAAAGGGAGCCAAGGAGAACTATAATCCAATGTGGTAGAATGCATTATTGTTTCCACCTCTGTACTACCTCAAAATAGAATGATACATCTGCCCCCTTTGCCATGGGACTCCAGAGGGCCTTCCCTCTGAGACAGAGCACACTTCCTCATTCCATTGGGATTGGCCATATGACTTGCTTTAGGTAGAACATTAGCAGGTGTGGTTCAAGTAAACACTTGAACTATCCATGCATGGTCTGGCTTGGTCATCTGACATTCATATCCTCCACCAAGAGAAGTCCATGCCACATATAGTCATTGCTCTGTTAGCCTACTATCCAGAATATGATACATTGAGTAGATACAAACCCAACTTGAAACATGGAGACTAGCTGAGCCCAGGTAAGATCGGCTGAGCCACAGCTAACCCCCAATCCCATAGCAAGAAATAAATGTGGTAAACTACTGACAATTTGAGGTTAAACAGCATTATCATAATAAAAATTTGACCATTACACCCAGTCTCAGTCACCTCCTTCCCCTCCATTCTTTTGCTGATGCCTCCTATTGGCCAAACATAAGAAACTGAGGGCAAGAAAACTCACTGATGTTGTATGTAAATATGCCCTGGAGGGGCAAAAGAACTGTGTCTTGGTGGATGACCAGCCGTTCAAGAAAAAGTGAAGATGAGACTTCAGGCAGAGACCAGCATAAACAAAGACTGGACGCAGGAAATAACATAGCTTTGTGCTGAGAACTCTAAGCATCTAAAATATCACTAGAATGTGTGAATTGGAGGCAGAAACAATGAGGAAAGCTGGGGCTATAGAATATTCCACAATCTTCTATGATAAAGCAAGGATTTCTTATCAGTGCAAAGGTTTTCCAAAGGCCCCAAACCTAATCTGTTGTAATAAGTCCATACTTTATTTTATACCTCTGTATAATTATGCCTCATAACCTTTAAGAGGTACATTATGATACATCATAGTATTGTAGTTAAAGCAAAGAAAAAGAGCAAAAATCAGTAACTGAACAGTATATACCAATTCATTCATGGAAAGACAACCAGACTTTCCTGGTATAAGATAAGAGAATCAAGACCCTGGCTAGAACCTACCTGGGAATATACAAGCACACACTCTCCATGCACACAACCTCTAACGACACCTAGCTCTCTCAGAATCATAAAGGGATAGAAATGCACTCCCAACTTCCATATAATAGGAAGCTTAGCAACTCCATCTAGACCCACAACTCTGAGGCATGGGTGAGATACCTTCCCCACGGTTTCTCTCTAAAATCAGGACTTGGATTCTGAGTCTCACAGTCCCAAGATCCCTTCAGCTGCTAGGGAGCCTATCTGGAACAACCTAGACATGCAGCCACCATGCCTCTGTCCTTCAATCACTTAACTCTCGGAGAAAAATCATTGGAGAAGGAACTTTAAAGATCTACAAATCCCTTATTTAAAGCAAGAAACTACAGTCCAAAAGAGCTATATCTTATTAATCCATAACTAAATTCTTATTAGTTTGTAATTAGTGCAGCCCTGAGCAAGTATACAGAACAAAAACACAGTTTCAAATTACTGTTTAGGTAGTAAAAATAAAGAACTGATAATTAACATACACCAGCCTTATTCATAGTGCTCTATGAGAAACTTCAGGCATTTTAACTTTAGAAAGATGTTTTCTATAATATATTCACCCAGAACATTGTGATCATTTGTAAATAAAGTTACAAAATTAAATCCTCCCTATGTAAAAGTAAGAGTGTCTTAACATCCAAAAAACAGAATAATACATGAGTGTATTATTTTGGTTCTAATAAAAAGCAACTTCCCAAAGTCCCATCCTTGACACTATAACCCCCAAGATCAATGATTCTCAAAGTATGACCTACATTCATAAAAATCACCACAGATGCCTGTGAAAAATGCCTATTCCATGGGCCAACTCTAGACCTATTTGATTTCCAGGAGTTCAGGAATTTGCCGTTTTAACAGTTCCCTAAAGCTCTTTATATATCTTGAAGTTTGAGAATCACTACCATAGACAACCAACATATTTGCAGTGAGTCACTCCAATGTCATCAGAATCTTCCCAGAAACACTGAACCAACATCCCAAAACTGGGATCAAGATTACCTTGTCGTCCTTCATCGTTTGTAAAGAGTCCTGTGTCACTGCTGCTACACACACTGCTGGTTTCGCTGAAAAAAAAAAAGTAAAACACAAGAAAAAACATCAGTTCCAGTCAAAAATAGCACTGTCCATTTTTCTGGTTTTCAAATCAAAAGATCTCAAGTTCCCCTAATTTCATTAGCCAATCAGAAATGTAAATTGCATGGTTAAGTCATAGGAGAAAGTTTATTTTTCCCCCAAGACAAAAGATATGTAAGAGGAGAATTTAAAACTTTTATTTATATTTCAAAGTACTATTGAAATATCTGAAGTCGCTTTGTTAGTTTAACATCAGAAAGTTATTAAGGCTCACAGAAGTAATCTCAACCTGGTTTGTTACATTAAATAACACAAACTTACAAAATTACCAACCAATTTTATTTTTAAATACCGTCAACTATCAGTTTCAAATGAAGCTATCCAACTTTAAGACATCTAGCATCTTTGAAGTTCCACACCTCCCTGCCCCGCCCCCTCACCCCATTTATAGAGCATCAAACAAAAATCCATGAACAGGAAAATATCAGTATGACAAAAGTTATATTTTCTAAATCTAATGTCTTCCTTGATATCAAGCAGATTCAGCAAAACTCATTTTTTAAAAGAAAATTAAGTTAAATATAAAAATATAAAAATAAACTCCATCTGAACTCACTGAATTAAAACTTTTGCCCCATAGAATTCTGTCCAATAAGCTTCATTTTCTGAGCTACTGCTAACAACTGATTCTGCCTCTCCTGAGGCTGCATTTCTTTCACCTAATCTTCATCAAATTTAATTTCTATGGTTCAAAGAAAAACTCTATTCTTTACACTATCAGCTATATTCTTGATTGGGAGTGTTTCTATCCAAGCTAGCCAATTTTTTTCACCTGCTCTAGAAGATGGAAAAAATCAAAGCGAGGAAGAAACATTCTCACCATGCTGCATAAGGAACAGGCTTGGCAAAATCCTAGTCTACATTTCTGGATCAAATATCTGAAAATATTTTGTATTTTGCTGTATTTTCAAATATCTTGCCAACACTAAATCCTAAAAATGCTGGTTAAATTAAACAGAAATGCTTTCCTCTCTGAATAACATCTAATAAAAGACTTGTTGCAGCAGGAACCAATAAAACATTCTCGATTTCTTTAAAGGTTATTTCATTTTATTTTCTTCTCTACATATAAGTGGGAACATTCTCAGGTGTCATTGTAAGGAATCTCATACAGAACTATATCACTGGATTCTGTTGGATTTAGAATCTTCAAAGAGCTCTGTAATTAAATCCAGAAGACATCCTCATGATACTGCATTCTTCCTACTTCTGAATTCAAAGAACTGTGCTGCTGAACTTAATGGTTTGTTTTTGTATTTTTAGCAAATTCCTGGGAATATTAGTGGTCTAACTCCATTGAGTGTTACTACACATTCTCTCATATTACTACTTTATTATTCTCGTCTCGTCTCAAAGGTAAAGCATTTTTTATACTGTTTAACTTCCTTGATATGAAGAAGGGCTTTAAAAGCCTATTAGGCCATGAGACAGATATTCTACTCCACCATCATGTTATAGTCTTTACTGGTTAGCAGTTATCACTAACTGAGATTTAAGGGTCAGTGAACAACAGCCGGTCACCTATTTTTGTATAGTCTGTGAGCTAAGAATGGTTTTTAGTTTTAAATCCCTGGGGGTGGGGAGAATCAAAAGAAGAATATTTTCTGACATGTGGAAATGATTCAGATTTCAGTGTCTGTAAATAAAGTTTTATTGTAATACAGCCACATTCATTCATTTCTATATTGTATCTTCTTTCATACCACAACTGCAAAGCTGAGTAGTTGCAACAGAGAACAGACTGCCCACAAAGCCCTAAAATATTTACTATCTGGCTCTTTAAAGAGGAAGTTTGCTGAAGCCTGCTCGACATGTATTACTAGTTTTACTATGCAACATCTATGGTTCCCTCTGTTTGAAAATTTCCAATTAAAAAATTAAAACCTTTGCTTTATTATAAAACCTATCAATTCTTTTCCCCATTCATTTCCAGACACTGTTAAAGACTGCAAGACACAGTGCTTCCTTGATCCTTTCCTGCATGGATTACATTCTCTCCTCATATTCTAAATAAAGGGGGCAATCTCAAATAAATTTGCTGGATCAAAAAAGGTGTTGGCAACCTCAAACCTTCCTAACATTGTACATTTTCTATTTTTGTCAACAGCATTTAAGGAGACTCACTGTCCTTGAAAGAGCTTGGACTAATCTCTTCTATAAATTTTCTATATATAGTTAGAGTAATAGCAATGATGTCACTGAACTAGCACCAAGATTTTAAGATTATGATCAAGGGAGATATGTATTTTCTTCATCAAAAAATAATTTATGTCTTACAGACTACTTATTACATAAGTATCTTCTACTAGTATCTGAAAATAGCAATTTAATCTGATAGCATCTGCTAATTCTATTTAGTCCCTCAGAAGAATTTGCATTGTAGATATTTAATCATATATAAGAAACTGTGAGCAAAATTTAATGAGGAAAAAGAACAGGAACTTCGTGGCATGTTTGTACACAAGAACTAGAACACAGCCTGTAAAAATGTATTGCTAGCTATCAAGTAGAAGCACATTGTTCCTCTTTGAAGTTATAGGCCAGTCCTATAGCCTTCCTTCACTTCTGGCTCAGAGATTATGATTTAAAAATAAAATCAGATTAGTAGGATTTTATAGTAATTCAGTCAATTATAAAACGTTAATTTAGCTAATTAAACTGAATTTTTAACATTGTTAAAAAATAAGCTACTATCTTTCAATAAAGACAATTTTAGCATCTCTGCAGATCACAAGGTCAAAAAGTTAAAAGATGCCAGGCTCCCACATTCTAAAACCTTCAAATTTGTTTATTACTCTTTTGCTATGAGCCTTTTTACCAGGCAAGGAAAAACGCTCTGTTCTTCATTTTTATAAGAAAAAAATGTGATCCTACCTCTAGTGTCCACTCCGCTTGTGGTCTTCTGGAGCTTAATCAGGAAGACAGAAACTCAGCTTTTATTAATCTTCAGAGAAAGCCCACCAAGACAACAGGGAAGGAAATCTTGTCTTTTCCTAAAATGGCAGCAACTGCTAGAGGCATCAGTGCCTCCTGCCTTTGCCTCCGGAGCTGTTACTCCCTGTTTTTATATGATTCTAATCTATAAATAGGTTGTATACAAAAATCTTCCTAGAATATTTCTAAAATATTTTGAAGCAGAAATGTATTACTCTACAAATAATTCACACATTATCAGAAAAATTCAATCCCAAATTGGGCCAATAAAGAGTCTCTAACAGAAAAAGAAGGAAGGATTCCCTGCCCCCCATTTCTCCTAAACTTCCACTCATTCAACTAGTAAACATTTATTATTTGCCACATACCAGACACTGCTATAATCAGCACTAAAACTAAAAAAGAAACATGCCAATCGCAATTTAAATGCATGCATTTTATTAAAAATTCAGTCAAGACTACGGGAAAAGGGTGTGAAAAGGTAGAGAGAAGAATCCTTTGCAATGAATATACTGCAGATAAGAGGTGGTGCAAGCCTAGAATTTAACCTAATACTGAGGAAATCACCCCATTTTAGAAGCCAAAATTCTCAAAAATATGCCCATGTGAGTAAAAATAGTAATAATACATCATACTTCTCTATATTTTCTTTAAAAAATGTTCCCATACTAAATTCAGCAGCATAGCCACCATTTTAAAGAAGACACAAACAAAATTAAAGCCTGGATTTTGGATTGTCTACTGCATTATCTAATTATTACAATGCTGTTAGAAAGGCAAGTGAACCAGTCGACTGAAATAACGTTAAGTAAAGAAAGTCCACCTAACCCGCAGTTCCAGAGGCTTTCCTCTCCTAACATTTTATTACAAAAACTTTTTCTAAATTTCCTACGTTCTCTAAATTCCCAAAATTGGAAGAAAAAAAACCACAACTTTCCTCTGACCTGAGAGCTTGCTAGTTTTTTCATATCCCTAACCACTGTAAATTTAGAACTGAATGAGAATAGTTTATTCCTGTCCCAATTATAATAAGGTACAGAATTAGCTGATCTATAATCAAAAGTTGTTATCAATAAGTTACCATCTGGGTTTCTTAATCATTTAGATTAACCAAATAGCTCAAACAAATAAGATGTGTCATTTACATCTAATTTTAAAAGAAACAAGCATGGCTTACATCATCATGATAAAAAATAAGGGATTTTCATTTAAATTAAATAATAATGCATTTAATAAAAATTTTAAATTGTCTTAGAATTCAGAAAAACAGAAAGAAAAAATGTTATTCCTAGACATACTGCCCAAAGATGACATTGCTCAATCTTCCTTCCCATCTTTTTCTTAGGTAGATGGGGTACATTTGAAACCATAAATAATCAGACTTCTGAGTCTGCAAGTACACATGACTGAGAGGTTTTTCAGAGAAATATCTCACATCGACTGCAAAATTATTCCCATAATAAATTATGAGAATGTATAATGAAGGTGTTTTTCAGTTTCATTCAGATGGCATCATGAAGGCAGCAACCTCTCCAGTTTCAGATTCATTAACGGGACCACTGCAATCAGATATACTTTACAGAGATAATGATTTTCTTCAGGACTCTGCTACTGAGCTGGGGGCTGTGCCTTAGAGAAGTCCACCCATCCTTTTAAGACTTAGCTTTCCTTAGAGCTTACAGTGATTCATCTTCGGTTAGATGAAATGTCTTTTCAGAGTAAATTCTTAAAGGGCATACCTTCTGAGACCTACATATGAGAACATCTTTGTGCTGCTTTCCTTGTGAAATCTATCTTCTAAATTTATACATAAAATTCAGGAGATGAGGGGTGGGGAGGGCAACCTTTCCCTCTCAAAACTCTCTAGGCAAATGTAGTCCCTCACATTTAGTACCAGAGGTATGAATGCCAGCCTTATTTTTTCATCTCTTTCAAGATTATTCTTTATACCTGTTCCACCACTGCCACCAGTGCAGAATGCAAAAATATTGCCAGG